AAGTTAGAAACTAGTACTTGTGAGAACGGGCATCATTTTTCTTCGTCACGCATTAAATTCGAAAATTAAAGAACGTAGAATAATACTCTCTAACGGCTGGGAACCAGTAATTACAAGAACATTGTTAAAACCACATTCATTTGCAACGGTGACATTGTATTTCGTCATGCGTACCACGTTTAGTTCAATTTGGACAGCTCTTACACCGTTATACGGACAGCTTTCGGTTAGCTGAAGCACTCAATTTGTAGCTGAAAATACGTAGATTAACCCACTGTTATTGATAATAACAATAAACAACCAGAACACTGTCAAAATCGCATTTAATTGCGGAATACCACTATATTTTTTGACCGGTGGCGCCATCCGTGGCGAATCGGTGAAACTGCTAACCAATTATATGGCTAGAAGGGTCACGGAACCCCCGGTGGCGGCGCCATAGACCCTGCACGGAGGCCCCGGTGGAGGCGCCATTGATCACGTGGACTGTTTGTTAATGTGAAATATACAAATTATGTATCGCGTGTAAAGAACTGTTAGGTTTCTCCACCAATAAGAAACGATCACGGGAAATCATGAATCACTGTGAAAAATCATCGTGATTGAGAACGAACGTGATCGAATCACTAGTGATTCACAAGTAGCAGTTCACGCCATCTCTATTGGTAAGGGGGGTCCTCGAACCCCCGGGCACACGCGAGAGACCCCGTGTGTTTGAGATGACTGTGTAGTAGCAACAAACTACTACAGTTAGTACAAGACCTACAATGTTTATGCAGTTATATTTAAACCGATTCAATCAAATGAAGCTTATGTTAACTGACGTATGTTTATTGGAATATACATATATGTAAAGTATAATGATATAAAAGTTTGAGTGCGTTGCGCCTTGTAGAAGGGTTGTTTCAGAGAACTTCAGTGTACTATCCGCTATCCATGGAATGTATTTTTTATTGCATATTGCCCAGATTGTTAATGTTCTTTTTATGATTGTACTGTGATCTATAGCGTAGAATATCACATGTTATAAGATGGGAATGTCGAAATCATTACTGATTCTTAAATGCAAGGAGTGGGGTGGACAACTTTTGAACTGTTCGGTGGTGAATCTATTAGTGTAGAGATTTTATGCATCGAAGAGAAACGATCTTTACCGGCCTTCGACTTCCTCTTCCCGTAGCTGGATATAATGGCGTCCGGAGTAAGTCTCTCTCGTGTGATTCGCACCGCGAAACATCGACATTACGATAAACCGACTGGGACATACGTTTCATTAAAAGTAATGTTTAATCTAGGAATCAGCTAATGGAGTTACAATTTATTTCAGACTCTCTACACCTACCCAGAAAACTTCAGGGCCTACAAGGTGCTGATCGCGGCTCAGTTCTCCGGCGCTCAGGTCAAGATTGCCGATGACTTTGTCTTCGGCGAAACTAACAAATCTGAAGCTTTCCTGAAGAAATTCCCCCTAGGAAAGGTATGTCTGTTCGATTTGTCGTGACACGTTTACATTGTTTTCTACGTGTAACGTGTTATTCAGAAACCAGCTGGTATAAGTTTCACGAGAGTAGTAACAAGCACAGAGCTTTCTCAATGCGCGTTTAACTTATCTGAGAAATCCTTGACAAGAAAGGAGCGAATTGCCCATTCAGTTTCTGAATGAAATTTTGTTAACACTAGTGTAATTTTATCTGTCAGGTCCCAGCGTTCGAAACAAATGATGGGAAATGTATTACAGAAAGCAATGCAATTGCTTATTATGGTAAAGTTTACAATCAGTATGTTGCGTTCACAGCACAGTTTACAGATAATACAATTTAAATCTTACATTTTCAGTTGCTAACGATCAGTTGAGGGGAAAGACTGAGCTTGAGCGTGCAGAAATTGTACAATGGTTTGGATTTGCTGATTCTGAGATTCTTCCAGCTAGTTGTGGATGGGTGTTTCCATTACTTGGTATCATGCCTTATAATAAGCAGGTACAGATTAAATATTCAATATCTGAGCCATTGAAAGTATTAATGGTGTAAGACAAGTTTTAATAAATTTTAGTTAACATTATAAGAAGATAGCCCTATTATTTTATCTTGTGTATAAATGATATATGCATGGTTTCATTAATCACTTAACAAGAGATGTCGAGTATCATCTCAATATGAGCTAATATTAATCTATTTCAATATAATCTTTGAGATTTACTTAGTATAAAAAGTATAAGTATCATAAACGTAATTACTATACTCAGTGTAATCGGTATATCTGGATGTACTCGTATGAGTACATTAATTTAGGACTAAATGTTTTCTAAACCTTTAAGCATCTCAGAAACATATTTACCAATTTACAATATTAATCCTTTCAATGGCTCATTTTGTTTCTACCTTTGTTCCTCCTTCAAAGGCAAAGCTAGTCCAATATTATAACAAGTTTTGTAACTCTTGGAGGTATAGAAATGTTAGCATATTGTATGATAGTGTATGAATTTTTCATGCATGTTTTTTTGAGATGCTCACATTATAAAGCTTGGATTTCCAAAGTTCCTTGCTTTCTTGTCATAACTGTACTTGACTGAAAACATATTTTAATAAATTTCAGACTGTGGAACATGCAAAAGATGATGTAAAGAAAACTTTGACCGCCCTTAATTCTCACTTACTCACACGTACTTACTTGGTCGGAGAACGGCTAACTTTGGCTGACATTAGTGTAGCCATGACATTGCTTCATTTGTACCAATATATACTTGAACCAAACCTACGTAAACCATACCAGAATGTAAATCGATGGTTCCAGACTGTGATTTACCAGCCTGAATCTATGGCTGTAATTGGTGCCTTTAAATTGGCTGAGAAGACACTCGAATATGACCCAAAGAAGTTTGCAGAAACCCAAGGAAAAGTTAATATTATTATTATTATCTTTTCAAAAGAATATTCTGCTTCTTGTAAATGCATGTTTCTTCTAACAATTATTTGTATTATATTACAGTCTTCTAAAAAAGAAAAGAAAGAGAAAGAATCCAAAAAGGAACCAAAGGAATCAAAGAAAGAGGCAGCTGAAGAATTAGATCCCGCAGAAGCAGCTTTAGCTGCTGAAAAGGCACTTTTGATCTCGATGATTTTAAGAGATGTTATTCTAACGAAGATGAGAAAAAATCTATACCTTATTTCTGGCAAAAGTTCGATCCAGAACATTACAGTATCTGGTTTGGTGAATACAAATACAACAATGAATTAACAAAGGTGATAGAGAACATTTTATAGAAAAAGACGTGTGTCTAGTATATTATAACTTATGTAAATAAATTGTATTTTCATTCTGCACAGGTTTTCATGTCCTGCAATCTAATCGGTGGTATGTATCAACGACTAGATAAAATGCGGAAGGGTGCATTTGCCAGTGCTTGCTTGTTCGGTACAGATAATGATAGTACTATCAGCGGTATTTGGGTCTGGCGTGGGCAAGAGCTTGCTTTCACGGTAAACCTTTTGTTTTAATGATTTCTTTCATTCCATTATCGCGTTTTATTTAGAAATGAACTGTGACCAATCATTTTGTTTTATATAGCTGTGTCCAGACTGGCAAGTAGACTATGAGTCGTACAGTTGGACCAAGTTAGACCCGAGTAAACCAGAAACAGCACAGTTGGTTGAACAATACTTCAGCTGGACTGGCGCGGATAAAGAGGGACGTGCATTTAATCAGGGAAAGATTTTCAAGTAAACCTTCGCCCTATCCTTGCTATTAAACGGAACATTTTGTTCGCATGAAATAAACGTAAAAAAAATTGATTAAAGTATCATCGAACTTTACACAAAAACCTTTAGAATCCTGTATTCAATAATAGGGTGTTTTCTTTTCGTCAAGAAAAAGAATGTTCCTTTGTATGTAGATCTCTGTTGTTCGACACACATGTCTTTTTAAGTTTATGCACTTTCTCTGTAAGTGTAGTGTTTGTCGAGAGTGATATTTGAACTTTATTTGATTACTGAATGAATTGTTGCAGTATAAATATAACACAAGATCTTAACATTACATAAACTAAATGGAGTGATATTTGCATTGGTATGCGCATTTTTTTTTTAGAACTTCTGTTTCGTATATACGTGTTAAATTATTTAATTTATAAATTGTTTTAAAGTACGTCGTAACTATAGAAATACAAACGATTCAATAGACTTAAGAATGTTTATGCATTTGTTACTGGTTGTTTAATTGAACGAAAACGCATAAATGTCTTACTTTATCGTTAAATATTAAGACAAAAATACGAAATTATCACCACATTGTAATATCTGCTACATCATACCAGAATTCATTCTCCATACCAGTTGTGTGAAGTTTAATATTAAATATAACGCATATTTTTACAAAACCAACGTTGTTGAATTTTTAACTATTCGAATAAAATTTTTACGTTTCTACAATTCCGTATTAACGCTTAAATATTATTTCAATACTAGGCGACACAAATTACACGTTTTTTTGCTTTATTTGTTCTCTGTAACAAATACTAATTATAATAACGAAAAGCACTTTTATATTTACAATGGTCTCTTAATCCATAAGAATAATTGTAGTATACTTAAAATCCTTTGGAATCCATCCATCTCTTCACAAGAGACACATAATCGCCCCTAAATTTCATTTCACCTACAAGTTCGTTTATACGAATACCAATTGGTTTTACTGAATTTTTACTTAGATATTCCTTTAATTCGGCCTCTAAAGCCCAAATATCTCCTTGAATCTTGCAGAGCTTAGTTATTTTTCGCATTCCTCTGAATTGAATCTTAAGATAAACTGGTTGCATATAATTTCTTGTGCGATTTATGTAATATGGATAATCTCCTGGTTTTGCTGTTAAGTTATGGATTAATAAATTAGATGTATATAATATTTTAGACATTGTTTGTCTAGAAAGTTTATCTCTTTAGAGAATATGTAACTCACCAGTAGGTGGTTTCCAACCAGATGGATATTCTTGATTTTCAAGAGGAGGTTTAGGTATAATTTGAGGTCTCAATAGACGTTCTACATACTCCCACTCTTGTGGATCATTCGTTACCTCATAATCTGTATATTTTGAGGGATCTTCATATATAGGGGAAGATCTGTAAGTGCTCCATCTTTTCTGAATCTAACTTGGATTAAAAACATACCAATTATTCTCGAGCAATTACACCAGAAATTTCTATAACAGTATTACATTGTCACACGACTATTGGTGCTGCTTTGTTTATATATACATTTATAGGTTAGCAGAAGATCACATAAAATTCAGTTCTTATTAACAAATATACGCTTTTCCGTGAAATCACAATATAACAAATCTCTATATCAACGTTAGAAGAATATGGCGTACAGTTTACGTTGCATTTTCAAGTTCAACAATTTATTTTTTAAGGTTCATCTACCGCGTGCTAATTTAACGGGTCGAACTCGAGAAGTCAGTGAAAAATGTTGACATGTTAGAAACAAGCAATCAACACGACTGTCTCGAGATTCAAAGAAAGCTTCGGAACAATCGATACTAAAATAATAATTAACAACTGAAATATTCAGTATAACTTTGACTAGAATGGCCCTTCGCCTAGTTCATCCATGGGTATCCATCACGAAAATGCGAACGAACTCGTACTTCGGCAAACGATCAGGAGAAGAGAGAAGAGAAAACGAAAAAGGCGAGGATAGGAGTGATATTACCTGAACCGGAATCGGCGAAACGTTGCTCGGAGGTTTCAGCTGGCAAGGCAATCGTAGAATAATCGCCGAAAGTTTCGAACGTGCGAGGAACCGAAGGGCAGCCATTTTGACTTCGGTAAATAAGGGTCGGTGGCCGCCATTGGTGCGCACGGGCGCGTCTTCCTTTTCGTTCTCGTGCCAGATCGAGCATTTCCACGCGACGAGCTTGTATTTCCAGGATTTTTTCCGTTTCGTGAGAAACTTGGTCGCGTTCGCTCGTTCACCCGCTAGACGAACGTGTCACCCGGCGGTCCTGAGTAATGGAAAATCCGAGCGAATAGCTAACGGGGTTCTAGTTATCGCGAACACTGTATAGAGCAGCAAGTGCCGCGTTGCTCCGAATTTCGCTGGAGGATTTAGGTGTTTGGAAGAGGCCTGATCGGACGATTTTTGACTCGTGACCGAGCACGTGTTCCCTGGAAGGATATTGTGTTGCGAATACCGGCTCGTCTGCACCTAGAAGGGGGTGAATTCTCGGTGAAACAACGCGGGGGATTTACCGCGAACAAACTATGGACCTGGGAGAGGTCGCGTGTTCCACCGTCAGGTGGCGGTAGCTAGAAAACAGTAGGACAGCGTACAAGAGACAGACACCCTGCAACGGGACTGTGTGTTTTTCACAGAATTGTTTTCCACGTTTTCCCGCAAAAACCACGCTCCCCGACGGTGATTTTCTGGCCGAGAGGTGAGTACATGCGACGAATCGAATGTACGACCAAAAAATCCCTTCGACAACGTGCGATCATGCCCGTACTAAACCGCGGAAATCTCGAATCGGACCGACCTTTTGTTTATTCGTGGCGATTTTTTCGCGACGATTTGTCGCGTGATTTTCGATACTTCTGGCCCGTTAAACCCCGGATTTCACCTCTCGGTAGTTAATACGCGTTACGGTCTCTCTTTCGAGCAAGAATTTTCCATGATACCAGGTACGATCGAGAAAATATCACGGTTAATATTTCGATGCGATTCCCCGACCGAGAGAAGAGGCGCTCCGTGTGTATCCGTGTAAATGCAAAGTTTGTCACGTAATTTTTCTGACCGCCAGGGCCGCATCTATCAACCCCACTATTCCGGCCGGCCGCTCACCTACTCGCAACCAACTACGAATTATGTAGTTTTTCCACTTGGTGTACACTCGATTTGTTCCCGTCTTGCTTATAAGAGGAAAGGTACTGTTTTATTGGATTATAGTTTCGTTACACCACATTGTCTTTCCCTAAGTAAAATTTCCTCCAGATTGTACGAGTTTCTATTTTATTTTATCTGTATAGAGATCAAATACTATGTTTTTTCAGAGAAACACATAAGAATTATTACTGTTATCCGTTTAACATCATTTAGTATGTGTTATTTCATATTGCAAATGAAATTGCAGGAGCCCAATGTGGGTGGAAGTGAGATGGCATCCAGGGAAAAGAAACCCTTAGCACCTTCCAAAGCAAAACAGAAGGCGAATAATGAAAGTGGCTTGTCATCGAATGAAATTAAAAATAGAAAGGGTAAGACTTTGTCCAATCTGAAACAACAGCAGCTTGCACGTGATATTTTGGAAGCTGTGGCAACTGGCAGTCAGCTTCCTCCAAAATTAGAGGCAAGCCTGCCGCGTAAAAAGGTTCTTAGGAATCTTAAGCGTAAACAGAAATTGAGAGTAGCTAAAGCAAATCTCATTAAATCGAAGGTTCCAAGGAAAGTAGGTAACAGAAATTTGTGCAGACTAGCTTCAGACATTAAGAAAAGTGTACGAACGAAAAGGATTAAATTACCAGAGGAAAGTGTTGATAAGACATTTGATAATAATTCAAAGCTTCTGGAGCAACAAGTAAACGATATAGAAAGCGAAAGTGCAGGGACAGAAACAATTAATAGAAGTGCCAAGAATTATCTCAGGACCAAGAAGACCAAATTTGTAACAAAAAGTAGCGGGGAAATAGAAAACGAATATTTTCAAGATAAAGATACAGATTCTGTTGCTGGATCCAGCATCAAAAGCAGCCCAAAACTTAATAGAAAAGGGAGAAATTCAGACAGCCCTGATTCTTTGTCTAAAAGTGTTAAATCGACAAAGTTTTCAGGATTCAAGAGGAACAATATCAGAGACAAGGACAGTTGCTCCAAAAATATAGAAGGAGACACCAAGTATACAAAGGGAAGAAAGAGTAACAGTAAAGATACAGATTGTAGCAAAGCATCGAACATTGACACAAAATTTTCAAAATCGCTTTTGGAGGCTAAGAGTTCTATAGATCTCACCATAGACGAGGTAATAGCTTCAATGTTGAGTGATTCAGAAATAGATAATCAACAAGGAGCAACAGAAAAAATTGAAGGGAAAGTAAAAAGAAGTAGGAAAATGCTGGTAGAAGAAAATATAATTCCTGACATTGAAATTAAAAAGGAACCGGATACGGAAGATACTAAGGGTATATTGGACGGAGAGACTCTGAGTACGGAATCATTCCAAAATGCAATTCAATTGAGAAAAATTAAGAAAGGAAAGTTAAGAAATGGAAAATTACGGCAATCAGACTCTGGTATATCCTCTGACTTGGATCAAAAGAAACGTCGAAGATTAAACTCGGATGATCCTGTTAATTCAGAAGTTTCGGTAGATAACATTACAGATAGTAATGTAGATACAGAATCTTGCTTCTCCGAGTCTAGTGGCAGTGATCCTCAAACAGCTCTTGTAACAGCCAAAGATGAACCTTGTTTCAAGCAGGAAGTGCTGAAAAATTGCGAAGATAGTTCCCAGAATGGATCAGAAACAGAGAACAATAATAACAGTGATCGAGTAGATAGAGTTAGTGAAATAGGACCCACTCTGCGCTCAAAAACTAAAGCCAAAAGTACAGAGATTGAAGTAAAAAATGACAATATTAAAGTTGAATATACGAGACTAGCACCTAAGAGTACAGAAGTACAGGAAGACATAAAAAGAGTAAGCAATATAGATCAAGTTAGGAAGGATAATATACTAGCAAAATTTGCTGACAAGTCCAAGAGCCGAAGAAGTAGTTTAAACATAGATATGAAAAAGACAGTGAATTCGTTTTATAGTACAGACAAATCAGATGGCAGTCCAAAGTCTCAAATTGATCAGATGATAGAGAATATCAAACTCACCATTGCAAAGTCTATTGAAAGTAAAATTTTTGGACCAGAAAAAGGTCTTGGATTGAGCAAAAACTTCGAGGTACCAAAAATTGAAGAGATAATTGCACCTTTGAGTACAGAGTCCCAGAAGTTGGGATTGGAGGAGAATACAGACGAAGATATGTCGACTGTTTCTAAAAATGAGATCAAATCGGATAGTTCAGAAAATTCAGTACCAAAAGTGGCTGACACTGCCAAAGAAATTGAGAAACTAGTCATGGGTGATATTGAACCAGCAGAAACAAATTCTCAAAATATTCAAGAAAGCGAGTCTCCCGAAACTGATGGAAATAATAGTATGCATAATGTTCCAGAAGATGTGAATGCTACAGAGAATAATGAGAACAATTGTGAAACTATAGAACAACCGGAAGAACCAAATGAAAATTCAACTATAACTGAGGAGCTTGAAAAGTGTTCGGAACAAGTAACAAATGGTCAAGTGAAAACGTTGGACGATGGTAAAAAAACAATCGCTGTTAGAAAATCACCCAGAATAAGTGATAAAGGTTCTCCTGAAAATAATGAGACTGTTAAAAAATTAAGCAAAGCAACAAATAAAACAGTTCACAAGTCTGATAACAGTGAAGAATCTTTACAAGAAGATACACACAAATCTGCTTCTGAAGAATCACCCGAAAAATCAACAAGGAAAACCCCTGAATCTTCTAAATCTTCGGCTGAATCTGTTGCTTACGAATCTTCAAATAATGAAGTACAAATAGAAGTTGCATCTGACCAGATAGAAGAAAGTTATGAAGAGGAAGAAAAAACAGTTGAAACTGTTGAAGATGAAATGATGTTTTCATTGAATCTTTCTACAACTTCTGAAGAACCAGAAACATTGGAGAGTATTTCGAAAGAAGTAGAAAGATTAGTAGCGGAAAATCAACAAAAGAGTAAGTTGCAAACAAAAGACGTTAGAGAGGATGCTACAGCAGATGCCAGAGAAGATGCACAAGATAAGGAAGAATCAGGTATTAAAAACATAACAAAGTCTGCTACATCTGAGATAGTATCAGATAATAATAAACAAGAAGCAACTGTGAATAAAGCAGACAGTGAGTTAGAAAAGAGTACCGTACAACACAAACCCAAGGCAACAGCGAATGCCAAAGAAGACGAAGCCAGTACACCAAGTGTGGTGCAGGACACAAAAACAGATACGGATAATAGTAACATATCAATTGCCTCTAACTCAGACTCGGATTCTAAAGAAAATGCCAATTTAGTCGCTAATGATGATACTTGTATTTCCCTTGAGGATAGTAAAAAAGATGCAGAGAATGACACAATAAGCGATAAATGTGAACAGAATAATATATGCAGCAATACAGAAAACATCCTCAGCTCTGATTTAGAAGAAATAGAAACAAGTTTAAGTAAAAATTCCGAACAGAGTGAATCAACAGTCACGGAGGATCAAGATGAAAATTTGGCGACTGACAACGTAGTGGAGGAACAGAAATCTGTCGGTGAAGATAAGAAAATGGTGCTAAGGGCTCGGGACAAAATAAAAAAGGCTGAAAAAGGACAAACGGTCTCTAACAGAGAACGTAGTGACAATTCTTCCAAACTCAAAACGGAAGAAGAAGATGTTCAACAAACACATGACTCAACGCGTAATGTCAACGAGGAGGATATGACGGAGGAGAAGGCAGTGAGTGTGCCTAACACAGAAGATCCAGAGGAGAGTCAAAACAACGCCGAATTGGAAGCAAACGATTTCGAAACTCAGTCTCGCTCTCGACGCAGCAAAGATGTGAAGAAACGCAAGGATGATCTGTCAGCTTCTTTGAAGACCAAACGACCGAAACGAGAAGCACGAAAATCTGATCAGCAGAACAAAGAAGAGACCTTATTGGACAATGAGGTTGCCACGATCAATGAGAATAACCGATCATTTTTGAATAAGTATAGAGACGGTGTAGAATGCGCGACCAATTTCAGAGGGTTTTCCGAGGGTGGCAGAGGTAGCTTGGAAAAACACCAAGAGACCGGAGACAGTGCACGGAGCAAGTCGGAGAATGACTTGGTAATCGCGAAGGAACCTGGTAAAGCAAGCTGCGAGGATAGGCTGGCTAGAAATCTTTCAGAAAATCATGTGACCAAACAAGCAGAAAACATTGACATGTTGGAAACAGAATGTAAGTCAGCGAAAACCCCGGAAACATCGCAGAAAGATTCGGACGAGACATCTACGTCTGGCGAGTCGTCTAGTAGTGTAAATGTTACACCAAAGATTTTGGAGACACCCGAGGACAAAGCCAAGAAGGAATCGATTCTACGATTGCTCGGTCTAGAGTCTCTGGAAAAAGCTGCGGAGAGGCTGAACCATCAGAAAGCAAAGAAGGAACAGTATACCGGGACTTTGAAGACTGTGATCAGGGTGCAGAAGGAGAAGGACAGGGACAAGCGGCGTTCGAGGTCTCCTTTAAAGATGGTGTTGAAGCAGGGTCGCGGAGATGGAGAAGGCGATTCACCAGAATTCTACACCATTCAAAAGGAGGTAAGTTGTTGATCACGATGAACCGACGTTGAATATGAAACAGGATAGATGTTTTGTTAATTAATCCGTTCTTTGTTTTTCAGTTTGGAACCAGTGGTTTGGGAGATAGCAGCTCTGGTGCGAACCGAAAGTTCTCTACTAACCACAGACACTCTTGCGGTAATCCTGGTTGCGGGAATAACTACATTCTTAATCGTTTCCCTGTCCTCTGCTTTATTAAACAAACACATATCCTCATACCCTGTAAAGTCTGATACGCCTTAGAACCGTGGAGGGAATTGCTTGACCTTTAATGACAGAAGAACACCGGAGAGTTCAAATTCCAGTGGAAAATTATATTTCAATCTACATTCCAGTTTCTCTTATGATGTCAAGCAATTCTAATCCATCACCAGTCCTGCAAATTATGTTCATAACAATTACATTTTAAATAACAAGCATGCTGTCCCGTGCTACTGCTTTATAAAATTCAAATGGAATCACTTCATAACTTTGAAATCATCTTTCAACCGAAGTGATATCACACTTTGCTGGAGAAATCACGTTAAACATCAATTCTGTTCATTTGCCAAGGTTCTCAGAGGACTGCATGTAATTGTTGATTTTTTTTTCTTTTTTTTCATCGCTACAGACGAAGATATCGAAGACGCTGCGCCAAAGGATCGCCAGTCTCTTGTGATCCCAGAGAAGTCCTCCTCGTTCTCCATTCATCCAGGACGTTTGTGCGCAGATGTGTGTTGCTACTGCTTCGGGAAATTTGGTTCTCTCGACACACCGATGCATCTGGCCCAGATGAAGTCAGATGAAAGACGCAAGAAGATTCTAAACATAGAGCGACACCTCACCAAGGACTCCTGTTTGTGCGACGCGTGTTACCGCCATGTAGATAGAAAGGTGCACCTCTTACTTTTCACTTTCCCGTTTTGTTTCGTTTAATTCCACTTTTATTGATACCTTTACTGAATCGACTTCATTATCCATAGGCAAATACAAGTCCAACGAACATGCAAACGAAACCACAGAAACAGCACCGACAACTGATGGTATCCAAGTGTTCAGCTCGCGATTGCAGGGATGCTGCAAGGCACCACGTTAAACGTCGCTGGTTGTTGAAGATAAAAGCTGGTTTACAAAAGCAGGTAAATGTACGCTTTGAAAAAAGAAATATTTTCTATCGCCGTACTTCGTATCCTAAACCACATATCTTATTCGCCTGCAGGTGGATATCGATTGGGAGTCCAGTCAACATACATCCATGTCGTTCTGTGTCAGTCATTACTCGAAAATAGAGCGATTTTTGACTTGCGCCCTATGCAAACGCCGACTGGCGAGGAATTACACTCATCAGTTGGCGAACGCAGAGACCGAGGAGCTGAATCAACTGCTAGGACAGCAGGGCGTTCCTGTTTTATTAGCCGCTGGCACTTTTGTATGCAAGTTATGTCGGTATTTCACGCAGCTCCAACTTAAGTACAAGGACGTCGACAACATGAACATGAGTCATCGGTCTTTCTTCAAGAATTATCGCAAGAGGTACGATCTAAGAATACCATAAATTCCTCCACTGTCATAAGATTCATATCGATCTTTCGGTTTTGCTATTTAGAATTCTACATTACCATGATATCGAGGTTCTGGACAACGAGGACGACGATTCGTCGCACAACCAATCCAAGGACAAGGAGAAGCGCAAGAAGACCAAGTGTCCACCCCAGCCAAAGAGTGGAACCTCCAAATCTCCAGACGCCACGACTAATTCTACGTCGGAAAAATCCACGCCTGACCTTAGTAAGATCGAGGGTACTAACTCCGAGATGGACACCGAGAATCGTACGACGAAGACGAATTCGACGGACGAGCCGATCGCCGGGGACGTTCAGTATCTCGGTATCGAGAGCACGGTGGAGAAACTGAAGAAACGCAAGCTTCTTGAAATGCATCCGTACACAACCTCGGACACGACGATACCATCTTGCGACAGTCCGAACGAGGTGGTGGAAATCCTCGCGATGGACAAAGAGGTGACCCTGACCAGATTGCCAAAGAGACCGAGGACCAGCAACGACATAACGCCCGTGGTGCAGAGACTCGGCGCCAATCCGTCGATCAGCGTACGCACTTTATTCCCCGGCGAGGAAGAGATGAACCTTCACGCGAGCATCGAGTTCACAAATGTACGGGAGATCACGCCCCAGGGCTGGGAGAAGTGCGCAACCATGATACAATACGACAGGGATACGAAACTTCTCTGGCAAGAGCTGCAGAGACCGTACGGAAACCAGAGTTCGTTCCTTCGACACCTAATACTTCTAGAAAAATATTACCGATCCGGTGATCTGGTGTTGGCACCGAATGCGTCTCGAAACGCGATTAATTACTCGACGTCTGTGCAGAATAGATTGATATCGTACGAAGGACCGGAGAAGATGGACGAGCCGATCATGGAGCCGATCGCCTCGGAGTATCACAATTCACGTCGACTAAGCGGGGGATACGTGCTCGAGAGGGACAGGCTGTCGTTGCCTGGAACGAGTACGACCACGAAGACCACGACAACGGGAACCGTGCAGCAATCCGCGAAAGGAAGTCCGTCGCGAGTTCTGAAACTGAATCCCGGCGTGTCGATCATCAAGAAACCACCGCCTAACCTCCAACGATTGAACCTGCCATCCACAAGTAACACCGCGAACGGCAACGTGAAACGAAAAGACGGTCTGAAGGCGCCGATCACATCCGGCGGAAAGGTGTTCCAACTAAGCGAGGGTGAATTCAAGCGTCTCCAGACACTGAAGAAACAGAAGCAAATGCTATCGGAGAAGTCGATCAGCCCCGGTTCGGCGAGCGGTGCCGGTTCAGCCAGCTCAACTGGCGTTTCACCGTCGAGCCTGAAATCATCGTCGACACAGTATCAGAAAGCGCAGCTCGCCGCTCATACGCAGTTCCAGAAGCACCTGAGAATGCAACAGGAGATGCTCAGCCGTCAGAGCAGAGGGGATTTCGAGCCGTTGATATGCGACATACGCTCGTTGGCGAACGAGAACAGCCCCACGCAGAATCTGTTGCACAACCTGAACTTGCCCAAGTCGATACAGGTCACCACAAAGACGACGTCCAATCAGATCCCGATATTGCCGAAAATCCCAAAGTCGTTGACGGTGATACCGCAGACCGTCACTAGACCCAACGCCGACAAATGAGAGATAGCAAAAGAGAGAATCGGGGGAAAAAAAAAAGTACATAAGTGAATGTGGACGGTCAAGAATTGATAAGACAGAAAAAGAGAGAGACGGGGGACAGTAAGTAGTTAGATGTTACAATTCTTTTAGACAAGTACACAGACCGCGTGTTCGTCGGTGTGGATCGGAAACTAGAGGGAATTTTCGGTTCGATTTTTCCGTTTCCCCCTCCGTCGAACGATGGGGAAGGGGGTGGACCGACTCACGGAGAAAGCGAGACAATATCTGCCTTAATCGGGCGCGCATCCGTGCCACGGTTGCGCGACCGGCAAGCTCAAAATATGCGATATAAACAATACGAAGACGCGCGCGTCGTGAATCGAATATTTTCAGTCGGTCAGAGATGCGCGTGTACGTGCGTAAAGTACGTACAATCATATAGATAGAAGTATATAAGTAACAGAAAACAAAAAAAAAAAAAACAAATGATACGAACACGTTAGCGATACTTGGATACTAACGATTATTACACTAACCAACCAAAGCATCAACACGTGGCGTGTGACAAGAGGAAACACAAACGAAAGAAACGAAAATGAAACGGATACGAAACGAAAACGTGAAACACGGTGAAGGAACGACACGTATACCTGTTTCCGTGGGAGGGGTGGCGGGGGAAAAGTGCCTAAAGTGTGACGCGAAAGCGAAATATCGTTAATTTTTAATTGACAAAGAATAACGTTGAACGGATTCGAAAAACACAGTGTATATATAAGGAAACGAAGTTCTGGAGTAAGAGGACAGAAGCCGGAAGTTAGGGATTGCCGATGCTTTCGACGCTTCCGTTTTCTCGCTCTCGATATGTTCCGTGACGACACGTGGTCGACCTTACGATCTTTCTCCCATGAAAAGGGTCAACATAAACATTATTATAAATATATATATATATATATACACTTTAGAAAAAGAATATATATATTTATATGTGTGTGTATATATGTAATTCCCACGAGTGACGATGCTGATTTTTGCCTTGCTGTTATCTGTGCTCGGTTCACTGTTAGACATATCGTTGTTCCACCGTTCTTCGAGAGAAAGATATATGATACCGAACGATGGGATCGCAGGGAACAGCTCGAAGAACGATCCACAGTGTATAATTCGGTAGTTCGTTCCTGGTTGTGTCGAAGGCGTACGAGGAGAAAAGGTCGAGCATACACGCGACACGTGGCGGCCCGGTGTGTATCTTATCGAGTATATACCGGGTGGGTCTCGGACAACGATTTATTCTCACCCCGAAACGATCGCGTCGTTGCTATCGATCGTACAGAAGAAGCATGCGAGAAAATAAATAAATCGTTCTCTCTTTCTCTCTCACACACAGACACACACACACACACACACTCTTTTTCCCATTTTCTTCTTCTTTTAGTCAAGATTATTTTCAACGTTGTCGATGACCGCCGAGAGAAATACTATGAAAGATATCGAACGGAAAGAATATATACTTAACGGTGATATTTATTACTCGAAAGACGGAAACAGTTTTTCTTGCTTCATGTAAAACATTTTCCTGCGCCCCGTCTTTGAGGAACACACAGAATCGTCTCGAATCGTCGCGTTGAAACGAGACACTCGGTGTATATCCCCCTCCGTTCGTCGTTATTGATAAACATATTATATTTTGTCTACCTGGAAACGTTCGAGAAACGCGTAGAGCAGTTTGGGGGAGGGGGGAATCCCTTCGGATCAATTGTACATTAGAAAGGAGGAAAGGATAAAAAAAATATATATTTTTTGGCCTGCTCGACCAGAGGGGAGAGCACGTATGATTGACGACTTGTAATTACTTCTAATTAAACGGGCGATTGTTAGATGCGGAATTACGATAAGTGTTAATGTGTGAATTGGTAAATACACTCTAAGTAGGTGTAGATCATACGCCTCGAGCTTATTTATTACGTTAACTATATATATATATATATATATGGACCCCAGAGCTAGAGTGTATTAAGTCTACCTTTTTGGAAAAAGAATGATATTTTTCATTTTTTCTGTATCAAAGGAAGACTGTAAAAAGTATAACACGATTGTAGATCACGAATGGAAAGAAAAGAGAGAAAGAGAGAGAGTGCATGTATTTCTATGTGAGAAAGAGTGCACGTGTTGGAGAGAAAGAGAGAGGTTTGACGTTTCTTTTCGTACAGACGAGAAGCGTCCATTTTCTTTTCTTCCGTGTCTTCTTTGTCTCTTTGCATTGTCGCCACGTGAATAATCGGAACGGGGGACACACAAATAGCCGTGAGTTCGACAGAGAGAGAGAGAGAGAGAGAGAGAGAGAGAGAGAGAGAGAGAACTCTGGTCCGATCATTTGCGAGATACTCGATCCTGTTTGTATCGTTAGGAAATCCTACTGCCTTAAAGAAAGTTGACTAGCATCGTTGTGTCGATGGATATTGTAAATAGTTCGAAGAGGAG